CCCTCGCACTGCGAACGCCTTAGTGCCACCGTCGCCGCCGCCGCTGCCCTTGCTGTCCCCGCTGGAGGCGGCGCTTTCCGCCGCCGGCGCCACCGGCGCCACCGGCGCGGAAAACAGCGGCGAGGGCGTTGTCGACGCGCACGTGCACGGCGGTGACGGCGGAGACGATATGGCGGGGGCCGGGGCGGCGGCGGGGGCGGGGGCGGACGCCATCGACGGGCTTCTGCTAGCCGGCGGCGGCGGGGTCACGGCGGCGGTAACTCTGGACCTGGACGAGGCGGCGGCGGAGGGAAGGCTGGCCGTCCTTCAGTGGGCGCGGAGAGCGACAATGGATGGCGCTCCTTCTCCTCCTCCTTCGTGTGGTGCCCGCCACCGCTTGTCGCTAGACACGAGGCTGTCTAAGATGCCGCCGCCGCCACCGCCACCGCCCCGGCTGCTGCGGCCGGCCGGCCACGGGAAAATTTCGAGGAGCAGCGCGGAGGAGGAGAAGAAGGAGGAGGACGGGGAAGAAGAAGGGTTCTTCCCGCAGGATGCTCCAGGCGGGGGTTACTACTGCTGCTGCTGCGACTGCGGCGGGGAGGGGAGGATTAGGAGCGCGGAGGAGAAGACGAGCGGGTCGGGGGACGCGGGAGAGGAAGAGAAGGACGCCGTCTACTATCTCCCGCTTCTCCCTTGCGGAGGCGGAGGAAAGGGTTGTGGCGAGGACGAGGACGGGCCATGGGGCGAAGAGGACAGAACACCGGAGGAAGCGGGAGGGTATTGCGAGGACGAGAAGGAGCGATGGGGTGAAGAGGAAAAGAGGCAGGAGGAAGCGGAGGGGAAGAGAGATGCGTTTCCACCGCCTGGCTGCTGCTGCTGCTGCTGCTGCCGTCGCAGCAGAAGCCGCCGCCGCCGTATCCATGGGCGCAGTGGGAGCGTCACGCTGGCCTACTCCACGGCGGCCATGGAGAGGACGAGAGCGGCGGTTGCCGCCGCTGCGACGGCGTCGCCGGCCTCGGTCCCAGGGACGGCTGCTGCTGCTGCTCTCGCCTCTGTCCCGCTTCGCTCCCCTAGTGGCAACGACGCCGCCGCCGCTGCTACTGCCTGTCGCTGTGACCGTTGCTGCTGCTGCTGCTGTTGCTGCGAGGTGGGCACACACGCCACCCTCTCTTCTTTCGTAGACGACAACGGATGGAGGGGGAGGCAGCACCGTTGCCCCTCGTTGACCCGGCGGTTCAACGGAGATCGGGGGGGGGTTGCCGCGTCGGCGCATCCGCGGCGCCCGGAATCGAGGGGTGCAGGCGACGCAGAAGGATTGGCCGTGGGGGCGGGGAGGAATCGATTCCGGGTGGCGATGTCGACGGACGCGGTGGATCGTGCAGCCGGGAACGGCCATCTAGAGGTGTGTGATTGGTCCCCTGGTATATTGCTCTCTCTCTCGGTCTCTCTGTCTCTCTCTCTCTCGTCTCATTGTATTGGAACAGCCTACAGTTTGGGCCCGAAGCTACGAAATATTTGGTAAGGAAACAGAGGTTCAAATATATTTCCAGGGCAACTTTGAAAGTAGGGCTAAGAAGCACAGCCCAGCGAGCGGTGAATCCTGGACTATGATCTATGTAATATTCTGTGCTTGGCAGTGGCGATGAAAATAGGGAGCCTCGTCGGCCCGAGTTTGACGTTTCTTATCTCCGCACCCGTTCTGTACTGTACTAGCTGTCGAATTTCGCATATGCACCTCGCTAACATTGACAACGTTGTGCGTACAATGTCGCCTTAACGTATATTTACATCTACCGTATGTAAACGTTTTCTCACCCCCGCCTTCGTCGCCGTGAGTGACCAGGTGGTACGCTGGCTTTGCCTCCACCAAACATGGTAGTAACGTTTGTCCACCGCCGCCGCCTCGTTAATTAACACAAGAGGCGTCACTTATTAGCAGCGTAGCAAAGTTCTGTTAACACAAGAGGCGTCACTTATTAGCAGCGTAGCAAAGTTCCATAATGAATAGCTGTTCCATCAGACATGAACCATGGCTTTCGTTGGTGGCCGAGGTCACCGTACTCCTACCAGACATGAGCCACAATCTTTTCGAAAATATTCATACAATCAAAGAAAGACTACACATAATATACGTTCGACATAACACTACGGTGGGAGATTATGACGTGTTTGCAGTCTTTGCAGTAGGTAGGAAGAAACCCGGCTGGATATGCTGGTCTTCTTTTTTCAGCCACAGCATTTTCTTTCGAGGCAGAAGTCATCGCACTCCGACCAGAAATAAGCCACTGACATTCTTTTCATCGCAGATGAGTGCATCGCCGTGAGTGTTCAGGAGGTACGCTGGCTCTACCTCCACCGCAGCGCAGAATCACCCATCTTGACCAAACATAACTTCGAAAACGTCATACATAACCACGTGCGGGCAATGTCACCCACAGCTTATGCACAACGCTTTTTCATCCCGGCCTTCGTCTCGTGAGTGATAAGGTGGTACGCTGGCTACACCTCCACCATGGATTTTCGCCAAATGCACCTCGCTAACATTTGACAACGTTGTGCGTACAATGTCACCTAACGTATGTTAAACACCGTATGTAAACGTTTTCTCACCCCGCCTCCGTCGCCGTGAGTGATCAGGTGGTACGCTGGCTTTGCCTCCACCAAACATGGTAGTAACGTTTGCCCACCGCCGCCGCCTCGTTAACACAAGAGACGTAACTAGCAGCGTAGCAACGCTTTGTCGCCCGCCACTGATCGGATGGTAGGACGGCTTCCACTACCATTAGAGGCTTGTGTGTGCAATGTCACCCACGGTATAGCAACGCTTCTTGTCGCCGCCTTCCCGTGGTGATCGGTCAGGTGGTGCGCTGGCTCTATACCTCCGCAGCAGAATTTAGCGTAGCCTACACGCCTCGTCAACACCATCACCTTGCGGTGTGCAATGCCTAGGTTTCGCTGTCATCCCCGCTTTCGTCGCGTGAGTGATCAGGTGGTTCACTAGCGCTGCCTTCACAACAGAACATATTTGCATGGATGATGTCCCTCGCAAACATTGAGAGAACGTAACATAATGCGTCATACACAATTGCGGCAACTCTTTTCGTCGCCGTCTTCGTCGCCGTGAGTAACAAGGTGTTACGCTGGCCGTACCTCCACCGCAAAATTTCATATGAATACCTATTAGCTATGATCGCACTATCACCTGGCGGTGTGCGCAATGTCGCCGAGAACTTACATCAACGCTTCTCATGCCTGCCTTTATCGCCGTGAGCGACCCGTGGTACGCTGGCTACCACCTAATTACCCATAAGCACCTCGTAAACGTTTTGAGAACCTACTTCGTGTAATGTCATCCACCGTACATGTCAACGTCTAACGTATGTAGACAAAGCGTTTCTCATCATCGCCGCCTTTGCCGCCGTGAGTGACCAGGTAGTTGGCTGCCTCTACCAAACCCATTCATACTTCGGCTAACATCAGAACCCCTTGTGCGCGCTATTGTCATTCAGCGTGTGTAATGGGCATCTAGCGTATGTTAACGCTTCCCATGCCCGTCTTCGTCGCTGTGAGTGACCAGGTGGTTCGCTGGCCCTGCCAAACATAGTCACGCTTTCATCAACATCAAAAAGCATGTGCGGGCATAACAAACACATGATTCAGAGTTCGTACAACCCATGTGCATGCTAACGTCATTTAACGCACTCCTATGTAGTACGCATCTAACGTGTGTAGACTAAGACGTTTGTCATCGCCGCCTTCGTCGCTGTGAGTGACCAGGTGGTTCGCTGGCTCTACCTCCACCGCGCAGAGGGCGGCACCGCCGGAGCCATCACGGCCGCGGCCGCCGGAGGGCACGTGCGCGTCCTCGACTGGCTTGCCCGAAACACGCCCCTGATGGTGACGAACACGAGACGAGCCAATTTCTTCCGGGGGACGAGTGTCCTCAACCCCTCGGCGCTGGACAGGGCCGCGGCGAACGGTCACCTCGGGGTCCTCAGGTGATGGTAGAGATTTTTTGGCGATGATGACAATGGTTGCGTTTGTTGTTATTGTTTTTTCTTCCTGCGAAGTACCATGATGCGAACGGCTTCGTTTTTTGTCCACGGAGGAGTGAATCCATCTCCTTCCACAGACGAGTTCATCTCCTTTCACTGACGAGTCCATCTCTTTCCACAGACGCGTGAGTTCATCTCTGTCTTCAGACGAGTTCATCTCTATCCACAGACGAGTTCATCTCTATCCACAAACGATATTTTTATTTTCTACAGCCGAGATCATCTCTATCCACAGAGAAAAGATTATTTTCTCTATCCACAGACGAGTCAATCTCTGTCCACAGACGGGTTCATCTCTATCCACAGACGACAAGTTCATGTCTATCCACGGACGACGAGTTTATCTCTATCCACTGCCAAGAGTCCGGGTATTGAAATAAGCTTGTTCGGTAACGTTCGTAGTCACAATCGGTGAGTCGATCAACGTGTAAATATTTGTAGGAAATCTTCTTCAGACATAGGATTGGTACGTAGTGTCTGCTGGTCTGGATTCGTAGTGTTATTGTAGGGAAAAAACATATATTATCCTGCCACAAGCACTCTTCTCTCTCTCTCTCTCTCTCTCTCTCTCTCTCTCTCTCTCTCTCACTTTGTGTGTGTATTCTGGGTCAAAACTCACGCGAGCCGCCCACCTCTTTCGTTCGTTTACTTGTTCTCATAAAACGCAACAAAACACGATTGATTATCTTCTTTCTCTCCCCCGTCGCAACAGGTGGTTCCAGCGGAACAACTTGTTCTCATAAAACGCAACAAAACACGATTGATTATCTTCTTTCTCTCCCCCGTCGCAACAGGTGGTTCCAGCGGAACAACCCCAAGAACCGAAGGAGGAGCGGCGAAGACGGCTTCACGTATCGCTTGATGGATGAGGCGGCCTCCAACGGTCACCTACAGGTCCGTGAGCAAAGTCGCAACCGTTACACACGCCCGACTACCGTACGGATGGAAGCGAGAGAACGCACGGGCGTGTAATCGATTTCGATGAATGGTTTCTTTTCTTCGGTCTTGACTGTTCATCGCACGGGGGTGCGAAATCTCACCGGTGCTTGCGATATCACCGATCCCCATCCTAGAATCGAACTATTTACAGGACATTTCGCTCTTGTTGGTTTGTTGTCGCACGGGGGTGCGAAATTTCGAAATTTCACCGGTGCTTGCGATATCACCGATCCCAATCCGAGAGTCGACATTCTTGTCGAATGGGGGTTGGGTGCGATGTTACCGGTACGTACGTTCGATTTCACCGGCAGGTAGGATATTGCCGAACCGTGCGTTCTCTCGCATCCCTTCGGAATAAGCACACAGTGCTGCCTTCCCGCAAGGCCCACTACCGTAGGTTGCATAAGCTACTACCCCCCCTGGTCGGCAAAACAAAAGCGGCGACGGTGTCGAAAATTGAGGCGTTGGAACCACCCCGTCTAGAGCTTTTCCGAAAATGTATCCTTTGATTTCGGCATACTCCTCGTCGTGGAGTAACTGAGCGTTGGAAATCGTTCCAGCGGGTGTGATAGCTTATGGTACAACCTGCGGTACATGTTCTGCGAGGACGGTGTTTCAGTACTTGACCACACACACACATGAGACCTTCGAGAAGGTATACCGGTACCTATATGGACCCAACCTCATGCTGTAAGGAACGAAATGCCTTCACATCGACCAACCCATCCACACGTCGGAATATACGTACCGCAACAGATATGCCAATCGATCCATCAGCACCCCATCGAGGGCTGCAGCTGGAATGCCTTCACCATGACTAATCGAATCGTCTCCATGTAGTTCGACAATAGATATGTCTTAATCTCGTCGTGATGTGTGCGCCACAACAGGTATGCCAATGGCTCCGTCAGCACCGCAGCGAGGGCTGCAGCTGGAACGCATTCGACGGAGCGGCGGGCGGGGGGCACACGCATGTCCTCGACTGGCTTGACCGGCACTACCATGCTGTCGGTCCCAGCGCGGTCGCCTTCACCAAGGTTTGTTATTGTTGTTGTTGTTGTTGTTGTTGTTGTTGTTGCAACTGTTGTTGTTGTGTTGCTGCTGCTGTTGTTTGCGATGTTGTTTGTGATGTTGCTGAAAAAAGACAATTTTTCAAAACCATTTGTCTGCAACGGCGACGCTAGGCGGCGAAGGCGGGCCACCTCCACGTCGTCCAGTGGCTCCTGAGGAGACATCCCGGCGAGGCGAGGGCAGGCTGCATGTGGGCCACCCAGGAGCTATCACCTACCCCGGCGAGCGACCCCACCACGGGCGCGAAGAGGCAAGTGTCTATTGGAATACTGCATCGCGTTGTCAACGCGGCAAGTGTAAGCAGATCAATCAGCACGGACAGATGAAGGTATTGGGTGGAGATCGGAACGGTTATTAATGAGAAGACAACAGCAACAACAGCACAATGGAAACCCTAGGGCGAAAAATGTGTTCGGTGTTGCTGTTGCTGTTGTTGGTGGTGGTGGTGGTGGTCTTGGTGGTGTCGTCGTTATCGTTACCTTCTTGTGTGTTGTTCGTGGTGATCTATCACTCTGATCTACCTTCATCCATCCTCATCCTTCCTGAAGACACAGGAAATAATATTCTACGCGTCGTGGTCAGTCGCAGGTTAAACGAACCAAGCAAAGCCTCTGCCGGCACTGTACCTCATACGCCAACCTCCACAAGTAGCATGAACGCCAACGCTCCGTCCTCCCGAGGACGCATGATCTGGCAGCTATGGAATGCAAAACATGAGTACACCCTTCTCCCCCCCCCGCGACATGAATCGAAACGCACAGGACCTGGAAAGTGGACCCTGAAGTCTTGGAGCTGGTGCGGACGGCCTGGGACTCTTACCGCGCGCGAGTCCCCTGGGGAATCAGTCTCCGCGCGTAGGCACGGCTTTGGGCGTCTCGTAAAGGCCCTCTCGCCCGTGCGCGTACCCTTGACATGATGTCGAGAGCGTCGAAGCACCATTTAGCTATAGCGTAGGAGTTGGAGTTTCGCTGGCGCATCATCGCTGGCTGTGCTGGGCACTAAAGAGCTGTGCTTCGCGACGTGTGAGCGTGCGTTGTCCAGGTGGAATAAAGTGGGGCAAGTTTTATGTTTCGGTGTGGTTTCCCGGTGGCGTGGTAACGCGTGCGTGTAATCGTAGCCGTGCATGCCGCGTATGATAGTCATTGGAGACCTGAACACATCCAGTGAAGCTCCTCTACGAGAGAAAATGCGGCGTTTGTTTTTTCGGGCGGAAGGGAACGGGTGCATGCATTTGATTTCGCACCGTATTAACCAATTCAATCGTGAGACATCCCTCACTCCGCAGGCGGACGCCTGACCCGTCATACGCCATACCCACACCGAATGAAGCGATCTCCTACAATATTTGACAAATGTGTGTATCTCCCATGGAAGTAGCCGTTTATTTCCATGGAAGCAGTATTGACTTCCTTGGAAGCGTGTACCATATGCCAACCAGTTGTAGGCTACCGGAATGAAGCCACGGGCAATGACGCGGGCGAATCCATTCTCCGGGTGGGCAAGACGCAGGGAGAGCCTTCCTTTCCTCGGATCAAGGTGGCTTGGTTTCCCCGTGTGTATTGTCTTCTCGCATGCGTGACTTTCCTCCGTGGATGACTGGATCGTTGTCAACGTATGACTGTTGCACTCGACTGGCAATAGTTCATTGGGAGTGTTTGGCACTTGTGCGAGATTTGTGTGAGGTTCATTTTTCTGCCCTGCCTCCTCTCGGGATGCTGGCAGGATAAGGAACGACGGCCTCGCTTTGGACAGCCTCGACGGCAGAGCCCTTCGGCTCGAAGAGCCAGCTTATCCTACCGCAAATATTCATGTGAACTCACTCACCTGTCGACGCCTACACCATCATAGCGGCAGATGGCACATGGTGTTACAATGTTGAAACATGCTGCTGTGTGCCGTTGGCCACACGGGGATATAGGCCGTTCGTTCGCGTGCCGAGGTCCCAAAGCGCCCCCAAACTCGCCTTGCCAGACCTACCTGTCTGTCGCACCCCCGATGCCTTCACAATATGCCTCAAACCGAAAGCTGCATGCGACATCTCTCTGCCACATTACCCCGTGCCTGCGCTATATCTGCCGGAACAAAACTACAGTGAACGCTACATCTATCTGCCACACACGCTTGGTGCCTTCGCTACGGCAAGCCCGAACAAAAACAGTGCACGCCGCGTGCAGGCCAACAGGAGGGGGGCGTCTGATATGGCAGGCGTTAGGATTGGCAGTACCAGGTTAGTTTGCCTTCGGTGGTCGGCTTGGCAGCAGTCGACCAATGCCGTGTCCACGACAAAAGAAAACAATAAAAAAGTGATGCTATTTATCAATCCCGCACACACACGAAACAGTTGTTGCTGTTGTTGTTGTCATGTTCACGTCCAAAACCGTCCTGGTCTCCGCTCACTACCTTCCAAATTATCCGTACTGTACAAAAGAAAAAAAACAAAACAGGAACACGTATCTACATGCCGCCAGGTGAAGAATTACGGGTAACAGCCAGAAGAGGCAGCAAGCAGAAGAGCCCGCCGCTCTCACTCCCCGGGGACTTATCGTGACATAGACACAGCACTCGGAAAGCACGGTGGTAAACCACGTGAAAAACCACTGGACTGCCGTTCAGCGGCCGACTGATCAACGTGGCCATTGTGCTTTTCAGCATGTACGGCTACGCATAGCTGCTCCTGTGTTTGATAGCGTGGTGCTCACTCCAGCGCCAGGGAGGGGCGGGAGACCTCCGGACTCGGCGACGGAAGGGTAGCCGTCCGCGTACCTTTCGTGGGAAAACTACCAGTCATCGTGCCCGCTGGTAGTTCAGTGACCGTCGTGCTTTTCAACATGCACCGCTTCTCCTCCTGTGCTTGCGTAGTGGTCACTCCAGCACCCGAGACCTCGAACTCGGCGACGGAAGGTAGCCGTCCGCGTACCGCCCCTGGGAAAACTACCAGCCATCGTGCCCGCTGGAATTCCAAGTGACCGTCGTGCTTTTCAACACGCACCGCTACGAATCGCTGCTCCTGTGTTTTTGCGTGGTGCTCACTCCGGAGCAAGCGAGGGGCACGAGACCTCGAACTCGGCGACGGAGGGGTACCCGTCCGCGTACCGTTCCTGGGAAAACTCTCGGTGGACCTCGTAGCTCCGGCACAAGATTCCGCCGCCTCCGGCGGAAAAAAACACGAAATCTAGGGCGCCGCTGTTGCCAGCGCCTCCGGTATCTACGGTGTCACCACTCTCATTGCCACCCTCGCCAACAGCAGCAGCAACAGCAGCAGCAGAAGCAGCTCGGCCGTTTTCATCGCCGCCGACGCGAACCGAAACGCCGCCGACAACGTCTCCAATGTCGCTGATGACGTCATCAACAACACTACCGCCACCGCTAACAACACCTAGAGCATCATCGCCGTGACGATCGTTTACAACACCACCTGCGACACCGTCACCAGCGTTGACAGCGGCGGCACCGTCACCGACAAGGCTCCGAAGCACCTCGCGTTTCTCGGGGACAACGCCATCGTCGGCTAGTTTCGGTTCGGCGTGATAGACCTCCGCGGGGTAATTCAGACCGATTCCGGGTGAACTAGAAGCCGTAGCGAGGTAGTTCGGAGCCGTTACGGGGGGAAACCAGCCTGTTGCTTCTCCTGCTGCTGCTGCTGCTTCGGTGGAAACATTTGCGGCGGATTGAAGACCACCCTCGGACACCATGCGCCTGTAACCGGACGAGGTGGATTCGAAGTTGAAGTCTCCGACGACGAGCAGCAACCTCCGATCTTCGTCCAAGCCTCGTACCGCGAGATCTTCTCCTTCTTTTCTTCGGAGTTTCCGCCGTTGCTGGTTGCTCCTCTTCGGGATATGTTGTTGGTCTCTGCGGGCGTTGTCTCGCTTTCGTAGACCTCTCGTTCGTAGATCTCCTGCGCGGAGATCCTCAAGCAGCGACAGGAGACCGGTCACCTGAGAAAAAGAGGCGAACGGGAGAAACGACGATGAGATGAGCGGGGGGCGACGAGTGTGGATATGCGGGGGAATGCGAGTGTTCGGAGGATGAATGCGGGGATATTCTTGTTGGGCGATAGCGTTATTGTCGGCCTGACCCGCCCGAAAAGAGACGAATCTTACGACTGGCGGGAGGGCGCACTCACGTTTTGCACGCCATAGCTGTTTGTTGGATCCTTGGACCACGCGTCCTCGAGAGGACGGAGGATTGTTCCAACAAGACCATCTCACCGATGACCAATCGTTCTGAGTGGGGGAGGATACAAATTTCCTCGCATGGTCGGGTAAAGTCTTCAGACCGTGTAGGATGGGGGGCAGGGAAAATGAGTATCCTCATTTGCGACTTCTGTGTACTTGAAGACAGTTGATGGCTATTCCACGCATCCGTCCGGAGAAGGGGATCGGGCACCATCTCTACTCCGAGGTAGAGAAACCGCTAGCACACCGTAGGTGACGGAAGATTACACTCAACCCCGGACCGATTGTCAAAGCTCGGCTCTTGCTCCCCGATGCAAGATGACGCGTAAATGAAACGATATCATGTTGTCGGAACGCTCCGGGTGAGACGGCTTCTCAACGTCGCCATTTGTTGACACCGCGGCCCTTTCTACTGCGCGGACGGACATCGAGCCTTGAAAATGGTTACAAGGGGGGGGGGGTGCTTGCTATCTTACTTCACCTTCGGTAATCGGGATCTCTGTACCCTTGCTTCTCTTTCACCTGTGCTGACGGACATCGAGCCTTGAAAACCGTTCCAAGGGGTGTGTGCTGGCTATCTTACCTCACCTACGGCAATCTATTTTTTTTTCGCCCCTGCACGTTTCCTGGTGCATGCTTGTCCCTCACCCAGATCATTCGATGTAAGTACTGGATTTGGTTGGGTGAGGCCTCCTGCACCGGTCCCGCTAGAAATTCTTGTCGATCAAGGTTTATGGCGGGACGAGCGAGTGTTATGTTAAATAACTTCTTCGTCGGTCCAGGCAAGAACAATCCACTCGTAGAGTTGAGCCTATGCAGCTATGGGAGGGACGGGGCCTTCTAGGACTGCGCCGTGCTTAGCTTTTATCACACCGTGGTGTTTTCTGGGACCAACTGGCAGTTGCGCTTTTTCTCAACTTCAAGGAGACAAGACGAACAGCACGCCGCCCTTTTTCAACATTCCGCAACATTCCGCTTTTTTTTTTTCCACCGAAATTTGGGATACTGTACTGCATATCTGGGCGAATATTCGTTCGTTCCAAACAATGTGTCCCCGTAGAGATAGGTCTAATAATAGGTTTTTTCGTCGGTCAATGTTGTATGTCTAGGCGTAAGAAAACCTCGGTTTATTGCTCCAAGCCTTCCTCTCGTCTTTCGGGTTTGGTCATCTTCCTCGTTCGTCTTCTAGAGAAGTGACGGACGAGGGAGGGGTCGGGGGAGACACGGGCACGCATGTGGTCTACGACTACTGTTTTCGCTGTTTTGTTTCATTCATTTTCTCTCATTTTGGTTTCGAAGAAGACGTTGTGAACGTCGACAAACCTGTCGCCAGCCGATCAACCATGCCTCAGGCCGGCGGGAGGGAGGCGAGGGGGGAAGCTTAGCTCTTGAGAAAGCAGCAGCATCCTCAACCACTATTTAGCGGGGGGGGGGGGGTTCCGTTGGTCAGTGAGTTTGCCGCAGTACTTGCGAGGATGTTGCTGCTTTCTCGAAAGCTAAGCTTCTCCTCTCCTTCTCTCCCACCAGCCTGAGGCGTGGTCGACTGGCTGGCGACAGGGTTGTCTACGCTCACAACGTCTCCTAACAAGGACGACGACAGCCATGACACGTGCTCCAAATAGTTACCGCTGACTAATAGTTGATACAGGTGCACCAGTTTGTGACACGCACATTTACCTAAAAAGCGTTGACTTGATATGCAAGCGCACCTGCTTTGAGATACAAGCACACCTGTTTTTGCGATACAAACATACCTGTTTTGTGATCGAAACTACATACTTGCTTGTGATAAAAAAAAAAAAACAGTTTGAAACATAAAATATAACCCAGTTTGTGATAAAGCAGGGGCCCTGTATAGTGCCGGAATTTGTCCAGAAATATAACCGGCACTATACCGGACACCGACACTACCGTATACGACGCAAGATAACACACCCCCTGAACCTATTTTAAAAGGTCGACTGCTCCACGATGAAGAGGATGCAAACACGAAACGATACGCTTTCGGAGAGCTCTCTGTCGACCAGACGGCTTCGACGCCATCGTTTTCGACGCTGTGTGTGACTCTTTCTGCTGTTGATAAATCGAGCTTTGAAAATCAGTCCAGGGGGTATGTCATCTTGCGCCGTGTACAGTATTCAAAGTACAGCACGGTTTCGTATTTCAGTGCGTGCCAGCCGATAACACCGGCATTACACCGGGCACCCGGCACTATTCGACCGGCACTATTCAGGGCCCACTACTGTAGTAATTTACAGTAGAGGTCCCTGTTTAGCTACTATAATACTGTAGTAATTTTCAGTAGAGGTCCCTGTGTAGTTCCGGTATGTGTTTGTTGATTTTTTTCCGGCACTCTACCGGACACCAACACTATTCAAAGTACAGAACGACTTGGTGTTGCAGTGTGTGGGAGCCGAAAACACCGGGTACACGGCACTATTCGGCCGGCACTATACAGGGCCGGCCCACCACTGCTGTACAAACATTTTCATATACCTGTTCTTCGGTTTCGCACTACTATACATGGCCGGCCCACTAAATACTGTACAAACGTTTTTCACCCACCTGTTTTTCGGTATCGCCCTACTATACAGGGCAGGCCCAATAAATACTGTACAAACACATTTTTAACCACCTGTTTTTCGGTATCGCCCTCGTTGCCAAGGTGCACGTTAACAACGGTCGCGACCCCCATCCCCCCCCCCAGCGACAGGGTGGCGTGAACTACGCAGGCGTTCTCCCCCGGGCCCCTCGGAAGCCTCCTCCACCCCCAGCTGCAAAACCACGCGGCGGCAAGAAGATCAAAAAGGTGTTAGGCCTGTACCCCGTAGGTGATTTGCCTGATATTTCCGATGTCGATTGTTGTTAGTACACTGAAAATAGAGTGAAGGAAAAGTAAGTGCATCTAAATCGTGAATGACGGACTCTGAATGACGGACTCGATTGCCTCATCTAAAGTGCGCACCTGAGCACCAGCACACCGCCTAAAACACACACACACACACACACACACACACACACCGCACTGAGGACTGACGGCTTTTCATTGGTCAGCCGGTCAGCGCGGTCGATGCTAATAATATACTGTAGACACACACACACAAAGAAACAGACCCACAAAACGTGAAAAATAAAAAAAAACGTGTGTACTGCTGTATGACTTGACTGCCTCCTCTGTGTGCCCACCTGAGCACCGGAAGGCGCGACAAGATGGCGCAGCCCCAGGTGTCCTCCGCCACCGGCGCGGCCGCGGCCAGTACCATACCCGCAGCCCTCGCCACCGCCCCGGCGTAGTGCCGGTTGCCCAGGGTCAATCGCATCAGCCCGGTTTCCTAGAGACACATTCGGCCAAGGCGGCGATAGTTTAGGGGTGGGAGTTCGGGATGTACTTAGAGCCGTGCATGCCGTAATTAGCGGTTTGGCCATTGACCTCGCATCCCTACAAAGCCGGGACGGAGCGACACGCCCGGTTCTCGCCGGAGAAGGCTCTTTTTTTCATCACGGGGTAAGGCGGAGGGGGGGTGGGGGGGGTTGGGGTGGGGTAGGCATGTTTTACAGTTGTTTGGGGGGGAAATAGCAAGGGTAGCGTGTGCATGTTTTGCATGCCCAATGTATCACGACCATAGACCGCGCATCCTCGAGAGGCCAGAGCATTGTGATACCTACCATACGATGTTTTCTACTTCGGAGGGGGAGGGGGGCGTACTCATGGCTTGCATGCCTTAGCGGTTAGACCATTGACCACGCGTCCTCGAGAGCACGGAGCAGTGTTCCCAGGGAGAGAGTTGGGCGGGGGGATTTGTACTGGATTGAATGCTGTGGTGGCATCAGCCCGGTGTCCTACAACCCAACCGAGACGATGGTATATTAGAGGGGTACGCATGTTGTGCGTGCAGCGTGCGTTAGCGGTTAGACCATTGACGACGCTTCCACAAAGCATTGTTCCCAGGGAGAGGTATGGTATCTTACGGCATGTCACCTACGGTACCTGAAACGTATTAAACTCCCAAACTGCGATACATCCCTCTCCCTTGGCGGGCACGCGATGCGCAAGGGCGATAGGTTTGATCTAAAAATCAACATCGTTCCCGCCCTCAGGCCAACAAAAACAACAAGAGCAGTGACCACAACAAACAACACCGCATCTTGATCAACAACATTAGCGACCGCAAAAGCAACAATGGCCACCAACTTCAAGAACAACAAGAAGAACAACAGCAACAACGACCGCAACAAACAGCCGCATCATCAAGAACAACAACAGCAACAACAGTAGCAGCAGCCACATCACCATCAACAACAACAGCGACCCCAAAAGCAGCAACAACAACCACAACAACAGCCTAAGAATAACAACAACAACGACCACAGCAAACAGCCGCAACACCAAACAACAACACAGTTTCAACAACAACAACAACAACAACAACAACAACAACAAGACAGCACCATCAACATCAAGAACAACGACAACGACAACGACAACAACGGAATCCACCTGCAATCCGGCGATGTCGGCCTCAAGGTCCTTCAGAAGCCTGCCCACCCGGAAGGTATTGTCCTCGCCCCTTCGGTCGTAGCCCATGTACACGTTGAAGTTCACCACCCTCACCGTCCGCTGGCCGGTCGATTTGGGTACGAAAATGAAACTCATTGGATCGAACCCGGTTCCCACACGACTACGGACCGTTCATGTTGGGAAGAATATGAAAACAAATATATTGGATCGACCCGTACCCACACGCTGTGAAGTTCACCAACCCTCACCGCCTGCGGGTTGGCTGATGTTGGCACAACAATGAAACTGATCGGATCCAGTGGGGGGGTTGTGTTGGTAGAGTAGAACAATGAATCTGATGTGATCTAACCCACACGACCTGGACGGTTCGTTTTGGATACAGAAATGAAATGAGATTGAGTGGGTCGGCCCGTTACCACACGACTGTGAAGTTCACCAACCCTCGCCGCCTGCTGGCCGGTTGACGTTGGCACAAGAATAAAAACAGATTGGGTCCAGTGGACCGTTCGTGCCGGAAAAAAAAACAAATAGCATATCCATTGACATCCTCAGCCTGTTAGACGCTTGGCGTTGATATAAAAAGAAAAATAGATCCATGGACACCCTCAGCCAGCTGGACGGTTTGTGTCGATACAAAATTTTAAGCAGATTGACTGGATCGACACCTTCCCGCACGAATGCAGGACCGTTCGTGTTGGTACGAAAATGAAACAGACTGTGACGGAATCGACGCCGTTCCCACGCCACTGTCAACTTCACAACCCTCACCGCCAACTTGTTGGTTGATTTTGGTACGAGAATGAAACTCGTCGGATCGAACCCGGTTCCCACACGGCTACTGGACCGTTCTTGTTGGTAAAGCTGTGAAAAACAAGTTGATTAGATCGACCCGTCCCTGTGCCGACACGATTGATTGCTGTTCCGAGCAGCAGGGAGCGCGTGCCGTCAATTTCCCTCGCCACTGGCTGAGCTGTGGTTCGTGCTGAGAGCCAAACGCTGCCACGATTCTGCCGAAGTAACATTGCTTTGGTCGTTGTTGTTGTTGTTGTTGTTGTTGTGGCTATGGTTGTGGCTTGTGGTTGCGATGGTTGGAGTTGTTATATCGTAGTTACCTTAGACGTTGCATCCGCAAGCTCGCTGCCGGCGGCACGCACATCGCGCCTCACGCCAGCAAGCCCGTCCAATTCCACCGCCCCCGCGGAGCTCGAAACCGGGCCTTGACTGCTGCTGCTGCTGCTGCTGCTGCTGCTACTGTCTGGTCGTAAACGCACGTTGCTGCGACATGCTGCTGCTGTTGCTGCGGGGGATGATGCTGAGGTTGATGGTGCGCCGAGCGCCAGGCCGGCCGCTATAGCGATAGTAACGGCAGCAGCAGCAGCGGCAGCAGCAGCAGCAGCAGCAGCAGCAGCAGCAGCAGCAGAAGTGTACGATGGCAACGACGGCGGCGGCACAGCACGGCTGTCCCAGCAGCACCGGTTCCCATCGGAAGAGCCTGCTACTGATGGCGGTTGTGGCGGCAGCGGCGGTGGACGTAGCGGGTGCCACCGGCACCTCCACCACCACCACCTCCTCCAAAGGCTCCAACCACCGCAACCACCACGATCACCACCAACACCATCGTCCCAAGCCGGCTCTTCCACCACAACCGGCGGATCTCTCCTCCTCGTCCTCCTCCCCGCCCGCTGCCGACAGCAACGGCACGCCGAGAGGGCAGACGGCGAGGCTGCG